CAGTGCGAGGATCGGATGCCTGACGACCTTGGTCAGACAATTGTGGATTGTGCTGTTCCTGAACAGTCTTATCCTGCTGCTGAGACGGCTCTGGTTCAGGTGTCTTCTGCTTGGATTTGTTCTGTTCAGGGGCACTTTGAATCACCTCCGGAGCGGTTGTTACCTGTTGCTCAGACCTCTCTGGTTCAGGAGTCCTTTGCTTGGGTACAGGTGGCTCAGGGGCGATGTCCTCCTCCATGGGCTCCACATCGTTCGTCTCCTGCAAGAGTCTAACGTCATTGCCAGTCGCCGAAATATTCGTTCCCAAATCAGGACTTCCTGGGGCACCACCAGGTACGATGACAGTGGCATCCGGAAGGCTAGGCCTTCCAGGGTGGCTCTGTACAGTGTCGCCTTGGTTGGGTGCTTCCTTGGCCTGGCGCGATTGAGTCAATTCAGACTTCACGCTTTCCAGCTTTTTCATCAGATCGACCATCTGCTTCTTCTGCTCGTTTCTCATGTCGAGCATCTGTTGCTTTTGGTCTTCCTGTCCTCTACGGATGAGATCTCCCTGTTCCTTGAGGAGCCGAGTAATCTCTTGATCCTTCCGGGCAATCAATTCATTCTGCTCTTTGATGCCCTCAGCAAGGAGGGTTTGCAGACGCTTTTGGCCGTCCCGCAACTCCTTGTTCTCTTCCCTGAGCTCTGAGAGTTCCGAAAGCATCTTCTTCTCTCGTACGGAAGCATATACAGGGGATGCGGGACGTCCAGAAGGGCATGATTCACCGAGAGTAGGTCCGCGAGGACGAAACTCGGGCGACTCGTTGGTATTCTGTACATCTAACTCACCGAAATCGGGCCTGACACCATCATCGAAAGTGTTGGTCACTTCATCATCATCGCCTACACTCTCAATGCCAGTTAGAGTGGAGGGAAGAAAACCGTCAGGCAGCTCTGGAAAATCATCTTCTTCCTCGACATCCCTGGTATGACGTCCATCAGGGATCACTGGGAGACGACCTATGGTTCTCCGAAGCCCGACAAACTCCTCGTCGCTAGACTCATCGACGACGTCTTGACGACTTCGATGACGTCTTTGGCGAGGGGGGGGGTGTCTTTCTGAGATCCATTCTCGTTAGACGAAAAGGGATCCGAGCTCTGCTCATCGTCAGCTTCATCGCTTGACATGGGAGAGCTCTGTCTTTCCCTGAGTCTAATCCATTTGAATATGATCCTATGAGATAGGCGATATATACGGGAGAGCGTATTCCGTGATGGCAACTCTGGACCCGTTCCCTTTTTCTTAGCCTTCTAAGCAGCAAGAGCATCCTTAACGCTGTAGTTCCATTAAGGTTTGAAGTTCATATTATTGACAACTTTGATAATGATATCGAGATCCTATTGAGTGACAGGAAGCATACACCGGCTAAATAGGGTTCCATATTCTGGTTCCTCTTTAGGGCTTGTGGGCTCCTTTGATGCCTCCTCTCTGAGTTTGTGGAGAATGTCTGAAAGGATGGATAGTGACTTGCCTCTTTTAGAAGCGCGATCCCTTTCTGCCTTATGTATCTTGTGGTATGAAGTATCTGAGGAGCTTCCTTTACACCCTTTGATATTTTTAAGGGTTCTCCGAATAACTGGGNNATACTATTTTAAGCGAGAGTCGAGTTAATAAATGACTGCCTATCGCAACGCTAAAGACAGTGAATCTATGTTTGCCTCCTAGTACGGATGAACTATGATTTTGGAGAGGGTTATATAGAACTTCTTAGATATGATCTATTTATCGGATCCACGGTATATCGGTGTGTATTATATGCCAGTGACTGGCGATAGAAGTATAGTCGGTATAATCCGGTATAGTCGGAGGGAGATCTTGAATAGTAAGAATAGTGCGTTGTATTGTGGACTGTCTAGGTCTCTAGAGGCCTCCTTGATTTTAGACTGCTGCCACTTTTTAGCGGCTGTAGCGTTATCTTTATTGCTCTACTTATATATCTTAGGCTAAGGTATAAGATTATAGTCGAATAAGGATTCTTATTGCCTGGTATATTGTATTTTAGGTATTTATCTTAGTATATGCCTGGTTTATACCTGACTTATGCTATCCTTAGAAGCTAAAGAATTAAGCTTGTCCTTTATAGGCTGACCTTACTTCTTAGTAGGCTTATCTTTACTAGGTCTGGCAGTGCGTTTATTTCGCGCGTTACTTATCGTGTTAAGATTGCAGGCGCCTTTTCTTTTTTTTAAAAAAAAAAATGAAAAGTTGAAAAGGTGTGAAGAGACTATATTCATGGGTCAATATCTTGTTGGATGGTGTAACGAGACTGGAGGCGCTTACTTGTGTTTGTGTTGTGTTGTGTTTATGAAGAGTCAAGATTAAGGTGTGATAAAGCCCACACGTTCACTTGGTTACGCTGGCCCAACACAGCCACCCCAGCCACATCTGCACAGTCACATCTACTGGCCTTTGAGCTCGCTATCGTTGGTGTTACCTTATGGATCAGCTTTTGAAAGCCCTTGATGTAAGCGGCAGCGGCAAGGTTAATATTGGTAGATTGAATGGCTGATCAATAGCCCTTAAGCGCACTGTGTTATCTGGTGTTCAACTCTTATAATGTGTTTTATTCTGGCGTGGGTGTCTTGGAGGGCTGGTGGCATATCACTACATACTATACGTCAAGGACATCACAATTTAGAAACCGTACGAGATAACAGGTGAGTTGTATTTGTGTCCCAGAACTAACTACATTATTTGGTACGCTCAACATCAGTGTTGAGGATCTCGTGAAATGAGGCATCCGGCTCAAATTGTGATTGCCATCTGGCAATAACAATCATTGGAATGTATGTCCAATCATTGAAAGTATGATTCCGATGGTGATCCCTGCCAAAGTCGCAACAGATGCCAAAAGCAGAACCCCTTTCCTTCTTCAAGTAGGAGTTGATGTCAACGAGCCTTGCCCGTCCATCCTGTTTCAACTGCAACCAGGTAGACATGACGTTGTGGCAAAGGCGAGGTGCATCCTTCTCATTAGCACTCAAGTTCTCTGTGACAACGAGATTGTGAGGAAAGGCTCTGGCAAGGTGAAATGAAATCTCATCCTTTGCATCCGAGCCCAACTCCTTGCTCTCATGTGCCACAGAGTTGTCATTGTCGACACTGACACCGAGGTTGGTGAGACAGTTCAAAATCTCGCCAGTCTCGGTGTGAATGAGCAATGCCCTATCCGGACGAACTCTCACAAGCTCTGAGAGAGTATCTTCTGGGGAGCCGTCTGCGTTCTGCAGTTCGGACATGTTTTGATGACGCTTCAAAAGACCAAGATTCAGCCACATGGTTCCCTGCCGAGCCATCGAGCTACCATGACCATGGCAACCACGAAGAACACTGCTGTACTTTTTTCGATCATCGAATACAGTCGTGTTTATACTGATCACCTGGTTTGAGCTATACTTCAGCATAGCAGCTAGTTGCACCTTGACTCGACGAACCTCGGGTCTGCTGTCAAGTGCGACAAACAGGGCTAGGCGATGGTCATATCCCAATAGAGATATGACGGATCTGAAGACCACTGTCTCTTTGCCCGACAGACCAAGACCCAGTCCATCCTTTGCAGTGATGCCCTGGGTGCGAAGTCTGAGAGACATCTCCTGTGCTCTCTGAGGCTCACGGACGAAGCAACCAACTGCCGCGCCAGGATCAATACCCCAGGAAGCGATGTCAACTACTGACGCGATGAACCCACCAAGTTGGGTATTCTCCACCAGACGGAGGCGAGACATCCCTGCTTCTATGAATAGCCTCATATTTTGGCCGCCGGTGTAGAGAAACCTCGCTGGTATCGACGGCTGGTTAACCCACCAGGACTGAAGGTGACGGTCTTCCGTTGAAGCAAAGTGAGGTAGTTCAATGACCTGGCGACTGAAATCGTCCCAGGCTTTCTTGTTTATTCCGCTAGCACCCATAACCACGTGAAGCTGGTCAAAATTTTTGAGTACTAATGGTAGGAACGGCACCTCATCCTGGAAGGTAATGAAGAGAGTCTTCGGTCCCTTTTTCGTGCGCGCAAGGTGACGAAGAGGAGCAACATCGACAGTAGCTTCAACAGTACGGAACTCTACCGTTGCTTTCGCGGTTTCATTCAACTGGTTTCGGAAGTCTGCTTCAAGTCTTGTATCAAATGAGAGAATGAGACATCGGCTATCATTTCCTGCTTGAATTTCCTTCGATATAAGGCCAGCATAGCCCTCTTTATCTGGTATGCCTTTCACAAAGGATTTATGAGCAGCATCTTGCATCCCATGAGCGGCTAGATCAACACTCGCTACCTGCTTGTCGGGT